TCCTGCCTGCTCTGGCCACTGCCCCGGGTTATGTCCCTGAACAGTGCACACCAGAAGGAGAAAAGAACCACTGAGGGTAAGTCCCACCCATGTCTGTCTAGGAGCTTTTCATGGAGGAGGTCACCTGAAATGGAGCCAGCACTTTGCAGATACCTAGGCCCAGATCTAATGATTCCAATGGGAGTTAGGAGCCCAAATACCTCTGAGCTTCTGGGCCCTGCCCCAAGTCAGGAGAACCACAGACTACCCAGAACTTCTTAAAAGGCATCGCCACCTCCCCAGCCCCTTGCATGGCTCCAGGAAGTCGTCGGCCCCGCCTGGGCTCTTGATAGTGCCTTAGAGAAATGGTGCGGCTGAGGGATGGAAAATCCCCAACCAATGCTCGGAGGGGGGTCATTCTTGGAGGGGATTTAATAAAAATCAAACAAATTAAAACCAGATTTGGGAAGCCAACGCTGAATTCCACAGCTCCTGGGGCTAATCTCCCCCCAGACAGCGGGGCAGCCGGGGTTTAATTAAAGCCGGGGAAATGTGCCTGTTGCTTCCAGCAGCTCCCTTCTGAGTCAGAAAGAGGGGTTGGGAAAGCAGCTATGGACTTTCCCATCAGTGGTCCCCCGATTTCCGTACTTCCGGCTCAGTGACACCAGCCTTGTCTACACGGGAAAGCTGCCCCACTTTCATAAAACCGGTTTCGATCTGCTGCAGTGCAGAGCCTTTCCCAGCCCACCTCCCCACCTGGGCATGCACCTGTATCAGGGGAAGAGGTCCTGGCATCCACAGGCCTTATCTTGACTCCAGCGGGCAGCACTACAGCTGAAGTCGTAACTTCACTCTGGGCCGGAAGATGCCGTGTGTACGCGCCCTCCTGCCAACATAGCTAACGCCCTTCACCTAAGGGGAATAGCTACGCCGATGGGAGAGCACTTTCCTGTCTCCCCCAGGCAGGCTGTAGCATTAGCCTGACCCTCTGGGACTGGCGCTCTGAAACCGCAATGGGCTGGGCTGGGTCACGCAAAGAGGGATCGATGCTGCCTTTACAGCATCCGTTTTAAAACTGCTTGCAGTAAATCTGTGCTGCTGCTTTTTCAGGGCTCGGGGGCTGTGGCCGTCATAGGCTGAGCTGCTTTGGGGAGGATACAGAACCCACAAGGCGGTAAAGAAAGAGCTGCTTTAACAAGAGTCTTCTAAGGCTGCCGGCCTGGCCCCTGCTGACTGCCAGGGCCATCCTTAAGATTTATAGGGCCCTACACAGTACTATTCATAGAATCATAGAACACTAGAACTGGAAGGGAGCTCGAGAGATCGAGTCCAGTCCCCTGCCCACACAGCAGGATGAAGCACTGTCTAAATTATCCCTGACAGGTGTCTATCCAACCTGCTCTTAAATAGCTCCAGTGATGGAGATTCCACAACGTCCCGAGGCAATTTATTCCAGTGTTTAACCGCCCTGGCAGGAAATTTTTCCTAAAGTCCAACCTAAACCTCCCTTGCTGGAGTTTAAGCCCATTGCTTCTTGTCCTATCCTCCGAGAGCAAGGAGAACAATTTCTCCTCCTCCTCCCTGTGATGCCCTTTTAGATACTTGAAAACCGCTCTCATGTCCCCTCTCCGTCTTCTCTGTTCCAAACTAAACTGGTGCCTCTCTGCCTGACGGCAGCCGGGGAAAGAGGGGGGGCAATTTTTTGAGAGATGTGATGTTATAACCTTCAGCAACACACTAATGAAATGCCACAATAAAATTGTTCTGCCACCCAGCGTGGTGTTGTTTTTGTAGTGAATTTAGAAAGGGACTTCACATACCTAGGCTTGGCTAATGCCTGTGAGATGACTTCGTTACCGCTCGGATGGCTCTTTCAGGGGTTCTGCTAATACAGGGGTCTCCAACCTTTTTAAGCACAAGATCACTTTTTGAATTTGTCAGTCCAGGATCTACCTCAAACCCCAATACTCCTGTCCCCACCCCTTCTCCAAGGCCCTGCCCCTGCCCTGCCCCTTCACTCTGTGAAGATAGGGTACAGGAGAGAGGGACAGAGTGATATCAGCACTCCCCTGCCTCTGTCTCCCCACAGCAAACAGGAGTCTCCCAGGAGTAGCTCTGAGGCTTTGGGCCACAGGGCAGTAGGGGGAGAGGCAGCGGAAGTGCCAACACTTGACAGCCTCCCAGCCAAACCTGTCAATCACCTGTCAGAGGCTCCAAGATCTGCCAATAGATCCGGATCTACTGGTTGGTGACCACTGTGCTAATAGCTCTGGCAGGCTTTGTCCCTGTTGAGTGAACTGGATTCTCTCCGGAGCATGCAGAGTCACAGATCAGGGATAGAAAGAGGTGGGTGGGTGGGCATTGAGACCCAGTGGTGCCCCAGATTTTCGGGCATCCTACGTGGTTGCATATTCTGCATATGGGTAAGCTTGGCTCTAATGGGGATGGCAGGCTGGGTTCTCAGCTTCATGCACCAGCAGAGCCAGCAAGCCCACGTCTGCTGTGACGATACCATTCACAGGGTGTGCAGGCTAACACAGAACTGCGGCCTCGGCAGGGCAGCCCTGCCCGGCTTTCTCTGCTGATTGCCGGAGAGGCAGCAAGGCTAGTGGCTTCAGGATGAGTTGGAGTCAGGACTTCTGGGTTCTGTACCCAGCCCTGGGAACGTAGCTAGGGGCTAGAATAGAAGTCAGGACGTAGTCACTGCCTCATGTGGGCAAGTCACTTTGCCTCTCCATGCCTCAGTTTGCCCATTTGAAATACAGGGTAACTACACTGAACTCCCCTCCCCCCCCCTCCCCCCCATACACAGACAGCCGGGCTGTGTGGCCCAGCTAATGCACAGCCTTGAGCTGCTCAGATGAATTGTTACCAAGTCTGGCTTTCTCCCACACATCTGCCCCCCACCCATGGAGAATCTACAGCTAGGATGAGAATCTCCTCTCCTGTGACTACTTCCTGAGCGCATCATCCCTTTGTTATGTTCATGGCACGCTCCCAGAGACAGGGCTAAAAATACTATCAGGGCAGGTGGTGATGTAACCCCGCTTTCACTCACCTCCCCCAGCAGGGTAGGAGGCAGTAACCTGAATCCCATACCCAGGGTCCATCTGGTTGCTGTATGTGGGGTCAGGAAGGAATTTTCCCACGGGTCGGACTGGCAGAGAGCCTGGGGGTTTCTTGCCCTCCTCTGCAGCGTGGGGCAGGGTCGCTTGCTGGCTGGAAGTGGCGTAAATGGAGGATTGTCTGTAACTTTAAATCATTCCGTCACAGACTTCAGTAACTCAGCCAGAGACTCTGGGCCCCGTGGCAGAGCGGGCAGGTGGGTTCTCTGGCCTGTCATGTGTAGGAGGTCGGGCTGGTGTCTCCGGTGGCTCTTTGCAGCACATGGTATTAAAACACGGGTGTGATTTAAGCCTTGACCACTCAGGCTGCTTTGACTATGTTAGTAATTGATTAAGATGGGGGTGCAGAACCTATTTTGGGTTGGGGGCTCCTGGCCCCTAGCAAGTGAATGTTGTGTGCTCCAGCCCCGGGGGAGGGGGGGGATCGTGACGGGACTGGAGTGCCCACGCAGGCTCTCCAGTGCTGGGGGCAGGGAGCTCTGAGTCTCAGGGGCCAGATCCAGGCAAGCTGGGGGCTGCAGGTTCCCCACCCCGGGTTAAGATATCAGCTGTTATTCATGTACTTGCCCCGAGAACTATATATATGTGAATGGAACATGTCCCCTGCACACTATTAAAGGGACAGCGTCCTCCCTACTCTGCACCTGCAGATGCTGCAACCCCCTTCGCTTGGGTGCTGATGGTTTGGGGCTGGTTTCCCCCAAGCAGCAGGGGCCTTGTGTATCCTCAGCCAGCCCAAGCAACCAGAGCAGCTGGTCCACCTGTGAGAAGAGCCTCCTGCAAGGAAGGGGCTTCGGCAGTGGGGTGGGGAGAGAGAACAGCCCTCAGCACTTCACTAGCCACTACCAGCACAGGGCTCTTCATATATAGGAACTGATTAAACCACGGGTACTCCCTGTCAGGGCAATGGGGAAACTGAGGCACAAAGCAAGCAGGCAACTGCCCCAAAGCAGAAGAGCCACGCGTTCAGCTCAGATGTCCTGATTCCCTCCCTTGGGCTCCACCCAGCAGATGGGCCTGGCTCAGACGCTAGCAGAACAGGGTCTTTCATTGGGTGTCCACACAGCGGGGACAACTCAGGTAGCAACCGAGCAGCTCCATAGACAGCACAAGAACCTGGGCTCAGTCCCTGAGCCATTCCCAGAGCGTGGGCCCAGCTCCTGAGCTGTTCCCAGAGTGTGGGCCCAGCTCTTGAGCCGTTCCCAGAGCCTGGGCCCAGTCCCTGCACCTTTCCCAGGCTCCTGGGACAGGTGAACCTGATGAGATGAGCTGCGGGCCCAGTCCCTGAGCCGTTCCCAGAGCCTGGGCCCAGTCCCTGCACCTTTCCCAGGCTCCTGGGACAGGTGAACCTGATGAGATGAGCTCTGCTGTGTATTTACCTATAACCATCCCTGCCAATCCCAGCGCTGTGGCTAGCTAGAGAGGGGTGACGATGCTGGTGGAAGGATGGACCGGAGAATGCTGAGTTAGCGCATTGTCTGCTTTTCACGCATTCTGTGCGCCCCCATTGCTCACACAGACCTATATCCCAGACTTGGCAAAGAGACAGCAGCCTGTTCCTCTCAGGAAGTGCATAACAAGCCCTGGGTAAGCCCCTGAGTGTGAAGGCTGGGTCCCTCTGGAGAGCTTCATTTATCACAGTCAGCTGGAGCAAAAGGGGACTTTATGCAGCCCTTTGACTTCCCAAACAGAGCTGTGCCTTCCAGCCAGCAGGCAGGCGCAGCGGGTGGGGGTGGGCTGCTTTGCTGGGTGTATATCATGACACTACACAGCACATTGCTGGCCCCGGGTCCTCCCCAGCCCACGGAGCAGAGACACACGGCATCGGGGTGGGGAGGTGGGGCTGGCGGGCTGGGGAGTGAAAGAAAGGGGTGGGTGGAGGGTGGAGTTTCTCTCAACCCAAGCTCCTGTTTCAACAAGTGACCCTGTCCAGAGAAGGAGAGGGGCGAAGGAGGGAGCTATTTAAAGAAAGAATCGAGCGATCCCGATCCATGCCGGTGCGTTCGTAGAGGAACTGGGAAGTCTCCTTCATTGACAGACCCTGCCTTCCCTCCATCCCTCGGCGCCCGGGCTGACGAAGATGGGAAAAGGGGTGAGTAGGAGGCGTTGGGCGCATTTTAAGATGAGGGCTGGGGGAATGGCTCAAAGGGACGGCAGGCGACAGGGGCGCCTAAACTAACCTTCCCGTTCCCCAAAGGAGAGGCGGGAAGACTCCATTTGCCCTCTGCCACACCCCCCGGGGAGCGAGGGTCTGGAGAGACAGGCAGGGGGGACCTGGGCATGTATCTTTCCGGGGCTTGTTTGCGCGGCTCAGGGCAGGCAGGGCCATGCGGAGCTGCAGCACCTCTGGGCTTGACAGTTCATAGCCCCGGGACTTCTGGCCTCGACGCGTCACTTACGCACGTAAAAAACACGCTGGAGCCCTGGCAGCAATTTCATCGCAAATGAACCACGGGGCAGCCAGCCCCCCATTGTGCTCGGCCGGGTCTCTCATTCCATAATTGCCACCCCGCTTGCTGCAGGGAACAGTGCGACGGAGGGTGCCGCTGACCAAACAATGTGACGGCTGGGTAAACTGCCCCCTCGCCAGGGCTGGGGCAGAGTCCTGGTGAGGGGGGGGGGTGAAGGAGTTGGCCGAGGTCCTGGCCCGGAGGATTATTTGGAGACGGAGGCTGCGTTCCAAAAGCAAAATAAGCTCCGCTGTCCCTCTGCATGGCGCAGCCCGGATCAGAGAGCTGGCCCAGCCTGGCTGTTTGTTTGCATCAAGCGGGGTCCCCACCCCCCTGGCGATTTCAGCTCCAGACAGTCTCTTCTGGAACTTTTTGCAGCTGGCGTTAAAAACTATCCCGACTGGTGCGAGCTGGCTGCGCTCCGCTGCCCATTCCGCTTCCTTGGCCTCCCGAACGCTGTCGAGACGCGAGGGACGGAAGGAGCAAGCCCTTTCCCAGCCCAGCTGTCGAATGGCTTTGCAGCATCGCCGTCTGGGAAGCGGGAGGGGGGGGGTCATGCACCCCACATCCCTTGACAGGCAGCACAGAATTCCTGCAACGGAAAACTCCTCGCTCTGCTTTGCTCATTGGTTCCCCTGGATTTATGTTTGTAGAATGGCCAGACCTGTAGGAAATGCCAGAGCCTGGGAACCTTTGTAGAGCAAGGGATGGAACATGAATTCATTATTTATACACTGCTCCTAATACACTACTGGTGGGAAACTGAAAGAAGCCATAGTGGAACGTGCCGTTCAGCAAACTGTGCTTAGCAAAGGCACTGATGAAGTGCGGGTTTAGGGGGCAAATGAGTAGTATGGGGAATTGGCCCTCAGGACTCCTGGGTTCTAGTCCCAGTGCTGGAAAGAGACTGGGGTCTAGGGATCAGAGCAGGGCTCTGGTTGCCAGGACTCGTGGATTCTGTCTAGGAGAGAGTAGAGTCTAGTGGCCATAGCTGAGCTGTCAGGACTCATGGGTTTTGTTTCCAATCCTGTCACTGACTTTTGGTGTGACCTTAGACAAGCCACTTCAGTGTCACCAACTGGCTAATGTGTATGTCTCCCTCTGCTGGCTGGATCCAGAAGCGATCAGTTGTGTATCCTAGACCCTATAGTGCTTGTGGAGATTCACCTTTGGCTCAGCTTGTGGGGCAATACCTGGAAAGGTGTGGTTTCAATCCCTGCTATGCCTCTGAAGTCCCCTCTGCAGCAGAACCATAGCTGGGAAGTTCCCAGATGACCAGTTACAATTCCCAGTTACCTTCTAAGTTCCCAGGTGGGAGGCCCCATGGAGGGGCAAATAGAGTCAATGGCAAAAACAGCTTCCTGTGCCCACAGGAAGTCTCAGAATGGAGACAAGCCTAGGCAGCATCTAGGGCTGAGAATGGTCACAACCCCACAATGAGTTCTGCCTAGGGGTTAGAACCGGGGCTGTGTGGACACAGAGAACTGCCCACCAGGAGCTCAGCACAGGAGCAGCACCTGCATAGAGCATTTGTTGGTCTATTGTTATCTGGAGTCCTTTGACAAGGTTTGCTCTATGCCGTGTTCTAGCTGTAAGAATTAGGGCTGGTTGAAAATTTTCTGTTGAAATTGTTTTTCAGCGGAAACTTGGGTTTTTGACTCACCAAAACGTTTTGCACAGATGATCGGCTTTCTGTGCATTTTTGGTGTCTCTTCTGCTGAAAAAAACAAACACCTGAAAACAAAATCACTATTTCTGTTTGCTGAGGATGTTTTTTTGGCGTTTAAATGTCTGCTGTGAAAATGTAAGTTTTCCTTGGGAAAACGTGGCTGCAAGGGAATTTTCAGCCTGTTTTCATCCACGTTTTCCATGGCAAAAACTCCCATGTTTGGCGCAGCTCCATGAATAACTTAGAGCAACAATTTGCATTGATATACCGCACCTTGCCTAAAGGCCCTTCACAGCCATTGATGCGCTGAGACTTTTGGCATCAGAGGAAACATAAATGAAGTAGAGTGGCATTTTTCATAGAGATTCTTTCTCAATGAGAACTGTCACAGCTGTCACATTCCTGCGTCCTGTGGCACCCCGGAAAACTTCACATCCACCTGCTTGGAACTAAACGAGAAGCCCCCTTACCTAGGAGCAGTATGGGGTCTATGGCACACAGCTAATTAGTTGGGATCCCAGCTGTTAGAAGACAGTCATGCACAGATGCATTAGCCGGCTCATTGCACTGTAGAAAATGACCATGGGCCAGAGAGAGGCCGCAGCAAAAGGAATATTTACATGAACATACTCCAGTGTCCTCAGGGTATCAGGGCTGTCCAGGTATGAAAGAAGAGGCATGACTTCCCCCCTGCCTCCAGTTCAGAGACTCCACGCCAGGGTCATGCAGAGACAGGATTTGACAGGTCTGACTGCAGGGCTGGGCCTTGCTGGCAGACGTGACCCCTGAAGTTCAAGTCTGGTACCTCACTCACAACCCTCTGTGCATGGCACTTGCCTGCCAAGAGATGCCAGCTAGGAAGAAGAACAGGAAAGGGGGGAGGGCGAGGGGGAGGCAAGCCACAGGATCACATCTTCAGCCCCTCCCTGGGAATCATCAGCATAGGCCAGAGCTGCAGAAAGGTAGAGCAGGCAGTCATGGAGCCACAGGGCTCAGGTGCAGATTTGGCTCCAAAGTCCCCCTGTAGGCCCGGCTCCGGCTGCCAGAGTCCCAGGGGTGAATGAAATGAGATGCTAATGAGGGCATGGGCCCTTCTCAGCCCCCTCCCTGTGAGAGTCTAAGCTCCCTACCCAGATGTTAATTAAACCCCACAGCAACTGCCTGGGAAAACCAAAGCCATGGACCTCTGTTCCCAACCCATAACTGCGATCGCCCGTACCTACGGAGGCGCAGGTAAATACAGCAGCAGCAGCCCACCAGGCGCTAACCCTGGTGAACCACGGCCATTTATTGCCCACCCCAGCACGAGACCCTGCTTCCCCCTCCCCGCGACTCCTCTATAGGTCTCTGCCCCATCCCATCACCTGCCAGAGGCAAGGCCAAGCTGGGGCCGTGTGTGTGTGTGTGGTGGGGGTGGGGAGGGGGATGTCCAGGACTTGTCTTCTGGGCCATTGGGCCCATGTAACCCCAGCCTGGAGCTCTGTGTCTCCCTCTAGTGTTGGGGATCAGAACTGCAGCCCTATGAGCAATTCTGGATTGGCCCCCATCCTGTGGTACCCAAAACTCCTGTGGAGATGGGGCGGGGGAGGGGTGGGGAGGGCACAAGATGCTCAGAATTGGGCCTAGAGCAGCTACCTCACTTTTGCCATTAATTAGAGGCTCATTCTAGCTGCTTGACAGTCCCCCTGCAGCGCATCACTTGGCACTTAGAGGCTGGGAGGGAGGAGGGAGACAATCGGGGGAGGTGGATATCCCCAGAAATATACCAGAGATGTGATAATCCAGCCCCTCTGATTGATAGGGGCTCCTGCCTGTACTAGCCTAGCTTTGGGGGGTGCTCTGCTGCCCTCAACCCAGAGCATCCAAAGCAGGGCAGGGTCCGTGCTGACTTTTTTTGGCGGGGGAGGGGGGGAGTGCTGCCAATTGTGGCAGGAATGGATGGCTGCTAGTGCCATCTTTAAAGATCCAAGGCCGCTTATGGCATGATCCAGCGTGTCAACCCTGGCAACTCTGCCCACACACCCTCTGCAGCGGGGCATGACATTCTGTTCCACTTGGCTGCTGCATCCCACCCCAGAGGGGACTGCACTTGGACAGCTGGGGCAGCAGCTCCTGGAAGGGGCTTTGGGATCTTTGCGGAGAGCGAGGGGTTATCCAGCCGACAGCTCCTCAGCTGGCAGAAGCCCATCTCCTCTGCGCATGGCAAAGGATCCCGAAGAGCCATGGAAACCACAGGCAAGCTGCTGGACTCATGAATCCAGCTGAGAAGTGCCAGGGCTATTCAGCCCTTTATGCGGAGCAGAAAAGAGTCTCTATTCTTCCTTCCCCATTCACAGCCTGAGAGACGCTTTCTTCCTCTTCTCTTTCTTCCCGCAGGGGGCTTTTGGCTCAGACTCCCCTCCGGTCTCTGGAGACAGACATGACTTCCCCTCCAGACCAGGGCCTTTTGGCATCACCCAAGGGAGGGGGGAGGAAGAGGCAATTCCTTGCTGCCCTGATCATAAACCTCAAGGAATTGTTCCTGAATTGGGTCGGCATGGCCAAGACAAATAGGACCCACTCAAGAGCGGCCCCTGTCTGTGATGTGAAACTAACTGAGTCACCCTAGGGACCAGCTGCATCCCAAGAGCATGTGATTTGGTCTGGTGGGCTACCAGGGGTTCCCCCACACCTGCACGGGCAGAGCCAAAAAGGGCTGGAGATATTTTTGTAAAATGCAAAAGGGGTCAAGATTGGGGTGGTTGACTCTCATGCTGCAGGGCAGAAAGCTTCAGGGGTCAGGAAGGATCCCCCTTTGCCTATGTGGCCAGGTGCAGGGGGAGGAGGGTGTTGGGCGGGGAGCCAAGGTACTGCATGTATGACCCAATGGCCTACTCAGAGGTGGAAGATGATGGGCGACCGGGACAGAGGCATAGGGGCCTGATCCAACAGAGGGGGGAGCTGGGTTAGATGAACCTGATCTGGGCTAGGAGG